TTTGTAAGCTCTACTGCAGGGACAAAGACGAGTTATTGATGTCACTGTTTGTCAGCAGTCATCATCAATTTTCCATTTTTGAATCTTAAAAACAACATCAGATGTATGATTTTGACACTGACTATTTCAGGTGGTTCTCTCTGAATATTTCACTGAATATTTTGGGCATTTTGGTAAAATGGTTTCTTTAATAATTTATTGTATGTTGGTAACTTTGGAGAGACATCTGTCAGATTTGTTCATTTCATGATAATAACATAATTTTTCTAAATTTAGAAAGAGAGCATGGTTATTTTTTGGTAAAAAATGCTGTTCTTGAAAAAAGCTGCATCAATTGTTCTCAAGAGTATGCCTTACAAACAGTGGAGTTATATCTGCCAAAATATAAGGGAGCTATCAACAAACTTTTGACATTGAGAGTAAAAATTTTAATAAGATTCAAATGCAAATTGAAAACAATATATAGTAAGCCAATGGGAATTAATATATTAATTTTTTATCCATATCACCAAAATGTTGTCTAAAAATCAGTACTGGTTGTCATAACTGAGCTTGGAAATTTTTTTTTTTATTGTGGGCATACTAAAATTGTTAACAATGACAACGACAATACCAGACACGTTATCAACTATAGCTTCATTAACATTGCAAACAATATAAACAATTGAATTTGCTTATCACTTAGAAAGTTACTTTTTGCCTTTCAATGTACCTTAGATTGTGCCCAAAATGGACACATCTGCCATGTGAACAAGTTTGATTTTCTTACTATTCACGGGTAATTAAACAAATGAGTTTTTCTGATAATATCCCTCAAAATAGTCCTTAATATCCTTAGTTTGAAATTAAACTCTCTTTACGATTCCTCTCATTGTTTTTATAGCTAAGTGACGAGGGTTCTCAAACTACTTCACATTCATCGTGAACTTGAACTTGGCGGTTAGACAAAGGACATCACAGAATACTTTAAATTAATGTTTTACTCTCAAATCAAAATCTCATAAAAACCACTCTTCTCATCTAATAAAGATGGTGGGAAGTGGATATAAAAAAAAATTTGAAAGGAGATAAAAAAATTACAAATCCTTTGCCGTAAAGAAAGATTTCCTGACAGTTGTAAAAGACATAGTTTGATGGTTTCAAGAGATCGCTTGGAAACGTCTCAGGCGTGTACTGTCCTGAGATTTGATTTGCTTCGTTGCCCACTGAACTGATTTGATTTTTGCACTCAATTTTGATGCGATTTTCTCTATTATAGCTCTAGGAATTTTTATGATAACATTTTTTTTTCATCTACACCAAGAATTACAAAATTCCAGCAGATAGTATTGAAAATGCTGATGATGTACACTGGTGGGAAGAATCTTTTAAACCACAATTGTGTTACTTTTTTTCTTTTTTTCAGTGATTGTTGTGAATTGCTATTATACGAAGTTAACATACGTAAACAAAGAGCCCTTGCTAAATTATTTCAACACTACAATAATTATATGAATATCCACTATATATTTTTGTGTTTATTTACTTATTTGTTTGAACGCTTTCATTATTATAATTAGGATAAATAAATGCGTAGTGATGTTGTGTCATAATAATAATAATAATCTTTATTGCGTTTGTATTCTTGAATAAAATACAATACAGATGAAATGAGAAAAAACAAAAAACTAATTTTAAGATAAATATCAAAAATAAACTATGTATAAACTATGCTCATGAATGATCTGATCCAATATCAAATTCCTCAAATATGTCAAGATTCCAATTGGTAGAGGTGGGTGTAATTTGTATTGTATCTTGCTTTTTTCATTCATTTTTCATACTCTCAGCGCAACAAAAGCATTCCCTTCATTTTAATAAATATTTATAAAACACATGGTCATTTGGGCAATATCATGATTTGTTGCCTGCCCAAGGGATGGAGGTCATGACCATAATATTGATGATGCCAGAGTCGAAATAACCCTCACAAACATGACTTTGTGTTATTATTCAAATATTTACAAAGACTAAGGGAATGGGTTTGATGTGCTTAGAGTATTAAATCTCTTGCTGATCTATGTGAGAATCATTAGGGGTGTAAATTTCGAAGGCATTCCTAAAACACGGTAAAGCAACATCACAAATTTGAGTGCAGATGAGTTTCAAAGGTCCAATATTTCAGGAGTGTTGCCATACCAACTGATTTTATCATTTTTCATGGTAATCATAATAATCAGTGGGAATGTTTTGCACATCTTGCATATTAAGCATATAAGTGGAAATGCAAATATAAAGGCCTGTGTGGAAAACCATGGGGCCGTGTTGCACTTCAAAATGTCATCCTAAAAGTGCGTATTGCTCCATATTTCAACCGAGAAATGACATTGAAGTAGTTTGCAACAATATATTCATATAATAGTTGCTGGATTGTTACGTATCAAAGTAAAACCAAAGATTGCAGTGTTCTGAAAAATATTATTTAATTTCGCATTAGAAATTGAATTGGAAAAACACTAGCAAACACAGCCCATCATACATATGTAAAGAACAACTCAACGTTTTTGCATTTAGTTGATTAATATTTTATATTGATTGGTTTTCTTCGGCCTGTGATAATATTTCATATCAACATTCAAATCAACAGTGCAAATTGAATATTATAGTCATATTCAGGTGGGCCAAAATTCAATGAAAAATTTAGCGAGTGCTCTCTATTCCCATCAGCGCATACAATAGGATTCCGTGTATAAACGGCTAACATTTACTGCATTATTTCAGAATTTTGATTGTCGTTATTTAATAAAAGGCATTCCGAGCTACAGATTTCCTTGTTTATGCCAGAGTCTAATTCGATCAGTAGTGAAATGGAATTTTATAACGGATGTTGAAATGGCTCTACTACAACATGCGACCGCCGACTGCCAGAGGGGTTACCCTAGCACAATGGGAGGCTATTATTGCATTGCTTTGAAAAGATGAATGTTAACCCATTCATGTTATAAGTGATTTATCATATGAAACACAATGGTGTCAAATACGTTTTCAAAAAAACGGTAGTTGTTGTTTTTTTTAATAAAAAAAAGGCTTTTTATTTTAAATGTCATGTTTGAAATTTGTTTTTACGATTCAGCGATGATTGCTTATTTTGTTTAAAAAAAATTAGTTTAGGAAACAAATTAAAAAAAAATAATTTATTTTTAAAAATATTCAAAAATTCATTTTTACCAATCAACAATCTTGTTTTTGTATTAAAGGTCCTATTTTTCTTTAAATTTCATTTGAGGAATTTTAATTGTTTTAAGCAACGATGAACTCACTATTTATGGACGTCACATGTATTTGTTTATTAGTATGGATAGACTGCCTGATAATAGTGATATTATTGATTTTATCAGCTTGCTTTTATTGTTTAGATAGCAATTTAATAATTTTATTATGAATGAGAACAAAGGCAGTGTAGTTTTACTGAAGAACAGTGGTGTGCAATGTTAATGTTTTAACCATATGCATAGTTGTTGCTATGCGTAGTATGGGACTCACATTGAACACATATCAATGACTTCATTGCTTCTTGTTTGATTGGATATGTACAACAACGTGAGCATTTCTTCAGTAAAAATGCTTGTATTTTTGCATATTCTATCAACAAAACTGAAGAAATTCACATGCAGTGTTGTTTTTATATTGTGTACATGCAGGTTTGTGTTCTACGTAATAAACAAAATATCTATTATGTTTATTCCTAAGGAGTTTGGGGAGTATAGGAGAGACTTGAAAAATGGCACACTGTTATCATCGTAGATGACAGAATGGAGCTGTTTCCGTCAAGAATTACATTTCAATCTTCTTCTTGGAAACTACCAGCTCAATTGCATTGATACTTGGTACGTAGGTACCTTGGGTGGACCTCTGTCAGATTTATTCATTTCGTGATGATATCTTTAATTCTCTATTTTTGTCAATTTTGGTAAAAAAATACTATTTTTGACTTAGGAACTACTAATTCGATTGCTTTGATATTTGAGGTGTACATAATTTTGGTGAACAATTTGTTTGATTAACATGTTCTCAACAACCAGAACCAAAAACTACTTTTTTGTGGTTAACCAAGTTTTGCCTTATGGAGGTATGTTGCTTGACTTGGTTACCACAATGTTCGTGTAGGGCAGTGGAGCTATTTTGACCATCAGGTCTCTTGTTTGGTGTGGTACTGTATCCAGTCCACCATTTGAATGAATTCGCATAGCATTGGGAATGGATTCGCATAGCATTGG